TGATGTGGGGGTGGGATGCGTGCGCGCGCCCACACCGTTTGGCGGGCAACACCCTAAACCCTAAACCCTAAACTCGAGTATGCGTCGCTGTCGGGATGCCCCAGACGCATGCGAGCCTTGGTCGGAACGTTCAGTGGAGCGCCTGAAGGATCTACGGAAAGGGAAAGGTTAAGCTCGACCGCCCACACGCCACGCCTCAGGCTGGCTACGCCACAGGCTACCTGCGTAGCAGGAAAGAAGAACCCGAAAGCCGGAACCCAACGCCAGCGGGACCGCAAGATCCCCCAGGAACCTAGGACAACTTAGGAAAACGCTGCCAGGGGCTCTCCAGGCGCTCCCAGCGCGCCTGGGCGCGCTCCCAGGCGCTCCTCAGGCGCTCCCACGCGTCCCAGAGGCTCCCCAAGCGCTCCCAGGGGGTCCCCAGCGCGGGAACCTCGCGCGCGCGCGTGAGCCGCGGAGCGTCCGGCGAACTGGTCCCCGTTGTCGTGGCGCAACATGATCCCCTCTGAGATTGAAGCATATGCGTAATTTTACCCCAATCGCGATATGCGCTCGCCAGCGCGCCTGCGCACCGAAAAGGAGCGCGCAGGCGCGGTTCTGGCGTCGCCAATGTAATTCAGCGAGAAGGAATACACTCGACGGCCGGACGGCCGGCTGACGCACGCGACGCGCTGCCTGGTGCGTCGCATCGAGGGGGCGCCAGGCCCGCCCCCTTGAGCTCCCCCTTCCCGCCATCCGAGACAAAGCGCTGCGCGTGCGCCACCGCGCAGAATCGCTCCTGCGAGAATCGGAAAAGGTCGCCCGGTCGGGCGTCCCCCAACGCGCGAACGAACCCCGGAGACTCTAGGATGACGTGGTGTCAGCGCGGGAAACTCGCGCGCGCGCGAGCCGCGGAGCTCGTGGCGCAACATGATCGCTTCTGAGATTGAGGCATCTGCGTAAGTTTACTTCAATCGCCATATGCGCTCGCCAGCGCGCCTGGGCATCGAAAAAGAGCGCGCAGGCGCGGTTCTGGCGTCGCCAGCGTAGCATGGGCTACAACAGCAGCGCGAGCGCGCACACAGCATCCCACCCCAAACAATCTTGATGTGGGGGTGGGATGCGTGCGCGCGCCCACACCGTTTGGCGGGCAACACCCTAAACCCTAAACCCGTTGCGACCCGATCCACCTCTTCCACCGACTAGCGTTTCCTGCGCATGCGTGCAGAACCTCTTCCGCCCGACCCGACTCGTCCCGCCCGTTACAGCACTCGCGTGCCACTTGGATTGCACATCAGTCGTCGCCGTCGTCGTCGTCGTCGTCGACGCTGTATTCGATGCGGTTCTAACGAGGGGAGAGATGATCTTCATGGTGGGGTGGCGTCCGGGTGGGAGTGACGGCCACCGCAGGTGGGTTCGCGGTCACGTTGTGCTCGTCGCCACGCCTAGTAGACCCTAAAAACTAAGAGCCTATAAAGATTTAAATTCTGAAATGCCTTCCGCGCCCCTAAAGTCCCCCTTCGGCCGCCCCCCCCCATTTTGGCGCACCCTTCACGCAGATCCTTGCCCTCGGAGCGCCAGGAATGGCGTTCTGGGGGGATCTGCAAATCCCAGGGTGCGCCCCTCACGCAGATCCTTGGCCTCGGAGCGCCAGGAATGGCGTTCTGTGCGGGGCGGCCGCGCGCCGACGGCCTGCAAGAAGAAGACCAGCGTGGTCCGGGCCCGGTGGCGCGCGCGCGATGTCCAGGCGGGCCTGCCCACCCCGCGAGCGCGGGCAGCTTTCGCGTGGCTCATGGAGCACTCGGAGGCCTACCGGCGCTACTACGAGATGCACCTGCAGAAGCTCGCAGCCCTGCAGGAAGCGGGCGAGGGGGCGCGCTGGATCTACACCGCGGAGCTCCTCCTCCGGATGCCCGGGGTCGAGGCGGCGGCTCGGCCCGTCCTGTGCCCGACGTCCGCCTTTGGCGATTCCGATCTGCGCCCGCGCCTGCGCGCCCTGAACCTCGCCGCGGAGAACGGGAAGCCGAGCATCAAGGCGAGCTTCATGCGGAAGCTGTGCAGCCGGTGCGTGGCCTACCAGACGGACTTCCCTCTGTTGATACCGCATCGAGATCAATATGTCTTGGGTCATGGGTGGGTGGGACACGGTCAAGTGGGCTGCGAGTTTGGGCTAGTGGACCCTAAACCCTAAACCCTAAACCATCAACCAGCACGAACAGGGGTCTGTTATGGACTCCGCTCGTACTACTACTAGCAGCAGCAATAACAGCAGAAGTAGTAGTAGTAGTAGTAGTAGTAGTAGTAGTAGTAGTAGTAGTAGTCGCAGTCAGTAATAGTAGTAGTAGTAGTAGTAGTAGTAGTAGTAGTAGTAGTAGTAGTAGTAGTAGTAGTAGTCGTGAAAGTGGTCGAAGAGCGTAGTCGTAGTCGCAGTTGTAGCCGTAGTCGTAGTAGTAGAGCATTATTTGTATAGTACTAGTAGTAGTAGCAGTAGTAGTAGTAGTAGTAGCAGTAGTAGTAGTAGTAGTCGTAGTAGGAGTAGTAGTAGTAGTAGTAGTTGTTGTTGTAGTAGTAGTAATCGTAGTAGTAGTCGTAGTAGTAGTAGTGGTCGCAGCAGTAGTACTAGTCGTAGTAACAGTAGCCGTAGTGGTAGTAGTCGTAGTAGTAGTAGTAGTAGTTGTAGATGTAGTAGTAGTAGTAGTAGTAGTAGCAGTAGTAGTAGTCGTAGTAGTAGTAGTAGTAGTAGTAGTAGTAGTAGTAGTAGTAGTAGTAGTAGTAGTAGTAGTAGTAGTAGTAGTAGTAGTAGTAGTAGTAGTAGTAGTAGTAGTAGTAGTAGTAGTAGTAGCAGTAGTAGTAGTAGTAGTAGTAGTAGTAGTAGTAGTCGTAGTAGTAGTAGTAGTAGTAGTAGTAGTAGTAGTAGTAGTAGTAGTAGTAATAGTAGTAGTAGTAGTAGTAGTAGTAGTAGTAGTCGTAGTAGTAATCGTAGTAGTAGTCGTCGTAGTAGTCGTGGTACCAGTAGTAACAGTAGTAGTAGTAGTAGTAGTAGTAGTAGTAGTAGTAGTAGTAGTAGTAGTTGTAGTCGTCGGAATAGTCGTAGTAGTCGTAGCTGTAGTTGCCGTACTAGTCGTAGTAGCAGTTGTAGTAGTAGACGTAGTAGTGGTAACCGTCGTAGTTGTAGTAGTAGCAGTGGTCGGCGTCGTAGCCGTAGTAGGAGTAGCAGTAGTCTTAGTAGTAGTAGCAGTCGTAGTAGTAGCAGTAGTAGTAGTAGTAGTAGTAGTAGTAGTAGTAGTAGTAGTAGTAGTCGTAGTAGTAGTAGTAGTCGTAGTAGTAGTAGTAGTAGTAGTAGTAGTAGTAGTAGTAGTAGTTACTCTGGTATTATTATTATTAGTAGTAGTAGTAATAGTAGCAAGAGTAGCAGTACTAGTAGTAGTAGTAGTAGTAGTAGTAGTAGTAGTAGTAGTAGTAGTAGTAGTCGTAGTAGTAGTAGTAGTAGTAGTAGTAGTAGTAGTAGTGGTAGTAGTAGTACTAGTAGTAGCAGTAGTAGTAGCAGGCGTAGTCGTAGATGTAGTCGTAGTCGTAGTCGTTCGTAGTGATTGTCGTAGCAGTCGTAGTAGTAGTTGTTGCAGTAGGGGCAGTGGCAGTAACAGGAAGAGGAGGTCGAGGAGGAGGAGGGGGAAGAGGAGGAAGAGGAGGAGGAAGAGGAGGAAGATACGGACGAGTGGTAGTAGTAGTAGTAGTAGTAGTGGTTTAGTAGTAGTAGTGGTAGTAATTGTAGTAGTAGTAGTAGTAGTAGTAGTAGTAGTAGTAGTAGTAGTTGTTGTAGTTGGACTTGTCGTAGTATTTGTAGTAGTCGCAGGCAGTAGTAGTAGTAGTAGTAGTAGTAGTAGTAGTAGTAGTAGTAGTGGTAGTAGTAGTCGTAGTAGTCGTAGTAGTAGTAGTCGTAGTCGTAGTAGTCGTAGTAGTAGCAGTAGCCATAGGAGTAGTAGTAGTAGTAGTACTGGTAGTCGTAGTAATAGTAGCATCAGTAGTAGTAGCAGGGGTAGTACTAGTAGTAGTAGTAGTAGTAGTAGTAGTAGTAGTAGTAGTAGTAGTAGTAGTAGTAGTAGTAGTAGTAGTAGTAGTAGTAGTAGTAGTAGTAGTAGTAGTAGTAGTAGTAGTAGTAGTAGTAGTAGTAGTAATAGTAGTAGTAGTAGTAGTAGTAGTAGTAGTAGTAGTAGTAGTAGTAGTAGTAGTAGTAGTAGTCGTAGTAGTAGTAGTAGTATTAGTAGTAGTAGTAGATAGTACTAGTAGTCGTATATTATTATTATAGTCGTAGTAGTAGTAGTAGTTAGTAGTGCAGTAGCAGTAGTAGTAGTATTCGTAGAAGTAGTCGCACAAGTCGTTAGTAGTAGTAATAGTATTAGTAAGTAGTAGTAGTAGTAGTAGTAGTAGTGGTAGTAGTAGTAAGCAGCAGCAGCAGTAGTAGTTAGTATAGTAGTAGTAGTAGGAGTCGTCG